ATGTATTCAGCTGGGATGTACTGCAGCATATTATAGCACAACAAATTATTTACGACAGACAAAAATAAAAAATGTAAACAATTTTTTTTTTAAAGGAAAAGAATAATATTGATTAATTTTTATATAAAAAGAATGTATATTTGACGGAGTAATATACGTAAATTTTTTAATATTAGTATTATATTAAATTATATTTCCTCCGTTTCAATACAATAGTGTTATTTATCATTTTTGTTCATCCTAAAACAATAGTCTCATTTCTATAAATAATCGTATTACTATAAAACTATTATTATTTTTTTATTATTATTACATAATTGTTACTGCTTTTTACACTAATATACTCGTAAGGGCAGAAAAATCTTTTACCCGTATTTTTTTACCCACTACCATATAATATCAATATTTCTTAAATCTCGTGCCGAACACAACTTAAATTATAATTTTGGGAAGGAGGAATTAATAAAAATAACAAAAATACCCCTATTAGTATTTATTATATTAAATAAGTAGTACAATTATTAAATTAAAAAATAATAATCTTATTTTGAAATAAATAAAAATAAAAAATAATAATCTTTCAATTAAAAAAAAAAAAAAAAAAAAAAAAAAAAGGAGAATGTGATTTGATTGTGTATAGTCAATGCAGTACTAAAAAAATAAATATTATTTAATGATGAATTATTGGGGACAAGTGTTACGCAACATCTCATGGCTGCCTCTACTTTCCTATAAATATTAAAAAATATATATATATATATAATTAATGATCTATATAATATTATTTAATTTTGTAGACTAGTAATTTTAATAATATAATATTTATTGGTGTGGGAAAGTCAATAAATCCACAGCAGAAATCTATCTTCATAATTGAGTTCACTTGCCACGTCGTCCTCCTCATAAACATGACCTCCAGTGGGTGGTGCTGTGTTTGGTGTTGTTTTTAAAGACAATTTTTTTTTTTTTTTTACTTTTTGTCCCAGTTAATTTGTCATATCGGAGTTCCAAGTGTTGTATAATTAGTAAGTAATTAAAAAATATATTAATAAAAATAATTATAATTTAATAAAATAATTATAAATTAAGATTTAAATAACTAAATAGTTTAATTAAAATAAAAAATTTATAAGTTAAGATTTAAATGACTAAATAGTTTCATTATATTTTAGAAAAAAAGAACAAATTACATGAGACTGAACATAAATAAAAAAAAATAGATAAATTAAGTAGAACATAATAAATAATTCAAAGGGGTTCTTTAAAGTTTTTATAATAGATATAAATTAAAAAATAATATTACGTCAGTCTCAATTCAAACTACATTTTTTATCATTTTCGTTTGTTTCACTTCAAAGTATTACTTTCCTATTTTAGAAAAAGTAATGATATACTAATATTAAAATACTCTTAGCTTTTATTTAAATTACAAATACATCATTACACGTGTAATTACTTTATACATATAATTAAATGATAAAAATGTCAAAAACTTTTATACACTTCCATTAACTAATAAAATATTACTCCCTCCGTCCCACAATGAATGTCTTCGTTAATGTAGACACGTGAATTTAGGTTAAGTATAATTAGTAGATAATTAAGAATATATTAGTGAAAATAATTAATACAACTAATTAGTTTCAATTTAAAATTTTAAAATATTAAATTTAAATTTAAAATGTGATTAAAATGTATAATTATTTTCCAATAAAGGAAAGTGACATAAGATGTGAGACGGATATAAACGGAAAAATGAACATAGTAGGTGGGACGGAGAGAATATTATTTTTTAATTTACTACAAAATCCCAGGAGACCCATTTGATTGGAACTAGATGAGTAATATTTTATTAGTTAGTGATAATATGTAAAAAAAATTACTAAAAATATATAGTAGTATTTTTTTTTATAAAATGTAAATAGAAAATTTAAATTAAAGTGCTGTTTAGTTTGTTATTTACAAAATAGTTTTCATAAATTTTCATATAAACTAGTATAAAATTACTATATATATAAATGTAAATTATAATATGCAATGCAAATAAAAACTAAAATATAAATACAAATCAATATAGAGTTTGTTTGTGTAGTATTTTGATTTAATTTTTTTTATGTGATGTGTAAAATATTACGTCGGTAATATAGAAATAATATTTTATATTGAACCTCGACATTTATAAGATGATAAAATATATATCAAAAATTGTGTAAAAAAAATAAAAATTTGAAAGAACAAACTCATAGTTTTTTTTTTTTTTTTTTTTTTTTTTTATTGTATTGGAGATATTTTGAAAAACTTAAAGTTTGTTTGCCCAATCTTTGTTCTGACATAATTTTTAATATATATATTTTATCATATTGTTAATATTCAATATAAAATACTAATTCTTTTCGTTTCAAATATATTGTCCGGGTTACTGTAAATATGAGAATTTAGGTAAAGTATAATTTATAAATAATAAAGAAATATATTAGTAAAAATAATTATTTATATAGTTAATATAATTATAAATTAAGATTAAAATAATTAAATAATTTAATTAGATTAGAAAATATAAATTTAAAATTTAAAATGTGATTAAAATATATAATTATATTTATAAAAAAAGAATGGACAAACTATGTAAGACAAACATAAATGAAAAATATAAAGAATTTATATAGGACCGAGAAAGTAATATTTTTTATATTATCAATATGATTTTTTATACCTCTTATAAAAATAGAATAATTGTAACAAATAAATATTGAATAATGAGTATTAATCAAATATGGACTTTATCAAAATTAATAATAAATTAAATTTTGTATGGTGTATTTTTTAGATGAATACAATATTTCCTCTTTTCACATCCAAAATAAACATTTATTTTTGGAACATTGTTTAAGAAATAACAATGTTTTAATCACGATAATTAAAAATAGTATAATGATATTTTTACTCTTACTTTTTGGTATAAAAGTAATGATATGATGTAAAGTAAGGGGCCGTTTGGTTCATGGATTTTTTTTGTGGGATTGAGATTTTACAGTAGGATTTATATGTGATGGAATTTATTATATTTAGGATTTGAAATCATATCCTATGTTTGGTTGGTACAATTACGTGGGATTTATATTTATCACATCTTGTTTGTTTTTCACATGAGTTTAAAGATTTAGATTTTTTATATTCTAAATAACATAATTGTTCTCCTGTAATTTTATCTATTTTGATAAATTAAACTTTTAATTTATAATTATTATAAATTGAAAAGATATCAATAATTTTATAAGAATGATAATAGGTTCGTGTAAACTCGAGACCCGACAAGACCCGGACCGACCTATTTATTTGAAGTTGAGTCCAATTATTTGAGTATTAGGTTTGTGTCTAGATCATGTACGGGGTAATACATTAATAATATATCGACTATACATATAAAAAATAATTTCTAACAATATAATTATATTAAAAATATTTTTTGAGTTTAACTTATTAATTATTTTACTATTATAATTTCTTTAATAAAATACCTAAATTTATAAATTTTAATATATGTTGGATCCAGTACATATGCAATTTTAAATTAAAATTTAAAAATTATAAAAAAAGTGATTTTTGTATCCATCCGGTTTTACTGGGTATAGTTTCGGTCGGATCTGGTATAATTGGATCCAAATTGGGTCTCGGATCTAAAAACATATATTCTGGAAGAATCTCCGGTTGAACCCGACTCATTGTCAACACTATAATTTTATAATTCAAATAAAATTTATAATAAATAATAATTTTAAACAATGAATTTAGTAATTTATTTTAAAAAATATTGTACCATAAAAAATAATAGTCTTGTTTATCATTTTTTTCGTTCCAAAATAATAGTCTCATTTCTATAAATAATCATATCACTATAAAACTAGTCCTACTCTTTCATTATTATTATACAATTGTCATTACTACTCTTTCCTTAAATTCCGTGCAAAACACAACCCAGACTATACTACTTATTGAACGAGAGAGAGTACTATAAATTTAATTAAATATATAGTTCAAATAATAATTAATTTTAAAATTATTTAATTTTTATTCTATAAAATTTATTTATAATATATCATATTATTTCTTTTATAAGAGGATATAAAATTAAAATTAAAAATTTTAGAAATGAGATTAAAAAATTACAGGGATACCCATTACCAAAAAAATCTCTTATTTGTAGGATTTTACACCCATTTTTTAAATTCCATCACCGTTTTTTTAACCTAACATAGATTTCATGGGATTTTAAAATCCAAATCCCACGTAATCCCATTAAATGGTTGTACCAAACAGCCTCTGAGAGTATTTGTGAAAAAAATAAGTATTTAGTAAAATATTTACTTTGTAATTGGATGTCCCAAAATAAAAATATATATATTTTTTAACTAGACGGATGAAGTATTAAATATAAAAAAGTACTCCCTCCGTCCGGTCAGAAAGTATACACATTTCTATTTTGGGACGTCCAATTGCAAAGTAAATATTTCATTAAATACCTTACTTTTTTTTACAAATACCCATATTTTACATCACATCATTACTTTTATATCAAAAATATCATTACACTATTTTTAACTCTCCACTATAATTAAAATACTATTATTTTTTAAATACTGTGTCAAAAATAAATATATACTTTATCCGTAGACGGAGAGAGTATCATATTGAATAATGGTATGTTATACACCATCGATTCAACTCTAAGGTCTAATCAACTTTACCTTTAATGTCATTGTAAAATAATTTTTATAATTATATAACTTTTTTTACAAATATCATTATAATAGTATTATAAAACACAAATAAAATTATTTTTTTAATTTATACTGTATTTTTCTATAATAATTAATATTTAGAGTCGACAGAAATAATAGTGCAGGAACATTAATTTTTGATGAATTTCTACTATTAGAATTTGGAAGTCAAACTCATGTACGCTAGTGTCAGGACACAATAATATATACATTTATATGTATGTATGTATATATAAGAGGGGGAAGGCGAAAACCTGCTCGCTGGAGCAGTCAGGAATGGCGGAACCGTTTGGAAATGGAGGGGGAGGCCTGCTGAGGGCTTCAATGTGCGGCGGGGGAGATGCCATCAGCGAGGTGGAGCAGTTATCTAGGGAAGGCAGCCATTACAGCCTCTCCACTGGGATTCTTCCTTCGCTCGGCGCCAGGAGTAACCGCCGCGTCAGTTTTCGTTCCTTCATTCTGTCGCCCTACGATCGCCGTTACAGGTTCGCTCCGTTGTTGTTGTTCTGTTTTTCACCCGTTCCTGACTCTCTCTCTTTCTCTATATACATATATATATCGTGGCTTAATAGTGCTTTGGAATTTGTGCTATTGATAGATATAATTGCATGTTGGTTCGTCTTTGTGAGAACTTTTTGGTGCTTAATCGGATTTTGGTTGAGGAATATTGTTGAAATTTTTTGACTCTTTTGCCTTTACGGTCAGTTGATTTTTGACTCGATTCCGCCAATAGAAGTTATAAAATCTCGATGATTAGATGTTAGGTCAGTTCTTGTCGGTTAATCAGTCGAATCGAGCTGAATCAAGCTTTTCATGTTCGAATGAATCGAAAATGGTTGTCGATCTCAACTAGTTTATAGATTCTAGTTTCTTAATATCTGCTCAACTTTAAATTCGATTCGATTTATTAATTAATGATAGAGTGATTACTATTTTCTCTGTTTGTTGAATATGTTTCTAAGAATTGAATTAAGACAAAATAATGAATTCTGTATCCATTTCATCATCGTTTACTCGAATTCATAGATCTCTGTTTTCAGAACATGATTATTACTTTATGCTATGGAGTGGTCTTTTGATTGAACCAAACATTGCAGAGCATGGCAGAATTATCTGATCGTGCTGGTCGTTTATACGGCATGGGTGTCTCCGTTCGAATTTGGTTTTCTCAGTAAACCTACACGACCCCTCTCCATCACCGACAATGTTGTCAATGGATTCTTTGCCATTGACATCGTCCTTACATTCTTTGTAGCTTACCTGGATAAGAAAACTTATCTTTTTGTTGATGATCGGAAGAAGATTGCTCGAAACTATGCCACTTCTTGGTTAGCATTCGATGTTATATCAACGATCCCTTCTGAACTTGCCGTGAAGATCTCTCCTAAACCTCTACGTAGTTATGGCCTATTTAACATGCTTCGCCTTTGGCGTCTCAGAAGAGTTGGTGCCTTATTTGCCCGGTAAAGTGACCTAAACTTTTCTTTCAAGAAATATATATATCTATATATATATATATGTGTGTGTATATATGTTATCACTGGATCTTACATTCTTATTAAATTTTTCTTCGAAGCAGATTGGAGAAGGATAAGAATTTCAACTACTTTTGGGTTAGGTGTGCGAAGCTCGTCTGTGTGAGTTGCCTTCTACTCAAATGGGAATGTATCTTGTGATTTATTATGCAATTTATTGAACTTTCGACTGTGTTTGGTGCCATAGGTTACTCTGTTTGCCGTTCATTGCGCTGCTTGCTTCAATTATCTACTGGCTGCTCGTTATCCTAACCCGGACAAGACATGGATTGGAGCAGCTATTGAGGATTTCCATGAGAAAAGTCTATGGATTCTTTATGTTACTTCAATTTACTGGTCTATCACCACTCTCACAACCGTCGGGTATGGGGATCTACATGCTGAGAATATACGGGAGATGATATTCGACATTTTCTACATGCTCTTCAACCTCGGACTGACAGCATATCTGATAGGAAACATGACAAATTTGGTTGTGCATGCAACCAGTAAGACAAGGAAATTCGTGAGTAACTTCTGTTTTATATATATATATATTCAGCTATAATTTGAACAAGTCGAAACTATCTAGAATGCTTCTACATGCTCACATTAATTGAGGCGTCTGTGTGTTGTTATCGTTAGAGGAATACCATTCAAGCTGCCGCGAGTTTTGCTCGGAGGAATCGGTTGCCTGTTAATCTTCAAGATCAGATGCTCTCACATTTGTGCTTGAAGTTTCGAACCGATGCAGAGGGGCTGCAGCAGCAGGACACTGTTGACTCACTTCCAAAAGCCATCCGTTCGAGTGTTTCCCGGTTCCTTTTCTACTCTCTAGTAGATAAAGTGTACCTGTTTCGTGGGGTGTCCAATGATCTCCTCTTTCAAATGGTAATGATCGGAAATTATTTCATTTTTCTTGCTGTTATGTTCCATCACTAACTTATGTCTCCTTGTATCCTTGCATTGAAGGTCTCCGAGATGAAGGCCGAGTATTTCCCTCCCAAAGAGGACATTATCTTGCAGAATGAAGCACCCATGGATTTCTATATTCTCGTCACAGGTGCTGTGGTAAGACCATACAGAAAGTCTTCAACTATTCATGCTTACCGTAAGCCTAATTTATACGTCTTGATCTCATGCTTGTAAATTGCTTTACAGGATCTATTGATTTTGAAAAATGGAGCTGAACAGGCAAGTCTGGTTATCAATCCTCAATTTAGTCGTAAAAATAGTATTATATTGCAAGGTCATCACTAGAGCCACGAGTTAAAATTTCAGGTTGTTGGAGAGGCGAAGGCTGGTGAGCTTTGTGGAGAGATTGGTGTGCTTTGTGTTCGTCCCCAACTTTACACAGTTCGAACAAAACGACTAAGCCAGCTACTACGATTAGATAGGAATACCTTTCTGAGCATCATTCAGTCCCATGTTGGGGATGGAACAATCATCATAAACAATCTTCTTGAGGTCTAACTGCTTTTCGATATATGATGTTTAGTTTGGATTTTATCTCAATACATTTATTTGATTTGTAGAACATTCTTATCTGCAGCATTTGAAGCAACAAAAAGATCCATTAATGGAGGGTGTACTACTAGAGACCGAGAACATGCTGGCTCGGGGAAGGATGGACCTCCCTCTCACTCTGTGTTTTGCGGCACTTAGAGAAGACAACTTACTACTGCATCATTTGTTGAAAAGGGGTCTCGATCCGAATGAATCCGACAACAATGGAAGAACAGCTCTGGTAAAGCTCCAAATTAGACCATTGTTATGATATATTCGATCTTTGAATCTGAGAAAAACCAAACGATTCTCAAGCTCTTTTCTCACTATATACCTGCAGCATATAGCAGCGTCGAAAGGAAATGAAAACTGTGTGCTTCTTCTGCTGGATTTTGGAGCCAACGCGAATAGCCGAGGTAAAGTTCTGCTCAACACCTAATTCAATACGCTTCTTGCCTTCCATTTTCATTGGACTATTCAATACAATTATCTAAGAGCTCTTGCAAATGTGTCATAGTTGATGTAATACTCATGGGGCTGCCTCTAATTTGTCTATTTATCATTATATTATTGCATGTCTGAGGGATCTGGATCTGGATCTGGCCTTGAGACAATTTCCTTCTAATATAGATCAACGCTTATTCCTGTAAATAATGCTGAGGCATGGCTTAGAGTCAGCTTTTGTTTGACATTTTCTAAAGTCAACTCGAATAACGTCATTTTCGACTTAGTTTACTTTCAATAGTTGGGTTGGAGTCAATTTGCAGAAACTGAAACTGCAATTATCTGACCCTACTAACACCAAAGGGCCAGATTTGACTAAGCATGTTAGTTTAATTTTATAATCCTTCTCAGGTGTTCCCTTTGTCTAGATATAAGTATACACACACATACATACAACACAGTTTTGTCAGCACATACTGACAAAGAACACACTCTAATACCATATTAGATGATCTGAGTTACCATCTCATCTGAAAACTTAAGCTATTAGATACGCATCATTAATTTATTTATCTATATACGAGAGTCAATTGACAATGTTATATATGTATATATCATTTTTTTTCTAAGAGTGGATTAGGTGGTGTTGTTGAACAATATAAGAAATCTGTTCAAACGGTATAAAACAGTCATTGAAGTTTTGAAGCAGCTGTAGTTTCGGAATTCTATGCTGTTGAATGTAATTTTTACAGCTACTTAATCAATCTTTTAACGTAGTGATGATTAAATGATGTAGTTTCAGGATTGTGCTATAGAATGGCATGCAAGAATCTGTCGAACAACGTAAAAATATTTTTAGAGTTTGCAAACAGTGTCTTGAAGTGGGTTGTTTTACTGAACTGGTGAAGTTTCTTTCGTTCAGATTCAGAAGGAAGTGTACCTCTATGGGACGCGATGTTGGGGATGCATAATCCCGTGGTTAAGCTATTATCCGACAATGGCGCAAAATTGACTGCCGGCGACGTTGGCCTATTTTCATGCATTGCTGCCGAGCGCAACAACTTGGAGCTACTCAAGGAAATTTCCCGGCATGGCGGGGATGTCACTCAGCCCAAAAGCAATGGATGCACAGCTCTCCATCTTGCTGTTTGCGAAGGCAACATTGAAATAGTCAAGTTTCTCCTCGACCACGGCGCCAAGATCGATTCTGGAGATGAAAATGGTTGGACTGCAAGGGACCTTGCTGAGCAGCAAGGCCACGACGACATCAAAGAGCTCTTCGATTCTTACAAACGAGCCAAAAATGGACATTCTATAGAGGAGCGTCATGGGGTTCGTTTCCTGGGAAGGTACAAGAGCGAGCCTAACATCTTACCTGCAAACCAGTTCGTCTCTTTGTCTGCAGCAGCATCAGCCCCCGATGGCTTGTGGGGCGCCCCTCGTCCCAAGCGTAGGAAAAACAACTTCTATAATTCTCTGTTCGGGATCTTGTCTGCAGCACAAGCCGGAGACGGGAATTCGCATTCGTTAGGTGATAATGGCGCCAATCCTGGAGCTAGTCGATCTTATGCTACCAGAGTGAAAGTGAGCTGCCCCGAGAAAGATGATTTTGCAGGAAAGCTTGTTCTGCTTCCTCAATCCTTCCAAGAACTTCATGAATTCGGAGAAAAGAGGTATGGACTCGTCTCTGTGAAAATTCTCAACAAAGATGGCGCTGCCATCGACAACATCGAGCTAATCAGAGATGGTGATCATCTGGTATTTGTAAGTGATCATCGAAACTAGTAATGGTTTATTTTTTGTACGCTTGTTTTGCTCTTCAAAATGTAAAATAGCCTCGTTGTTTATGTACACTGTTTTTTCTTATACATTCAGTCTCTAATCTAGAGTTGCTGCGAGAAGTTTATTGAATTCTTCGGCATTTTTCTTCTTCTTCCTGTAATTAGGTTTGCTGTCACTGAAACATAGGAAGAGTAAGAAAGATTTGAGAAATTTTTGCAGTAGCATATTTACGACTAACGATAGCATTTGAACATGTACCGTGGTTCTCTTTGTCTTGTGAGCAAAACTAGCAGTCCGAAGCCCAAAATGGCGGCGAGTTTGATTACCTGATGAGAAAAGAGATTAATCCCGAAAATAGGTAACATTGAGATCCATCTTTGTGTAATAGTTTACCTTTCCTACGAGTTTATTAGATGAAGCATCTGTCTTACAATCATGTCCCGATTCTGATATTTTAGCAGCCTCGCTTCGATCATCTTCCATCTTATGTTCTGTCGCGTGTGTTTCATTCTCCAGGAGTTGTATTTCAGGTGAAAAAATCTTCGGTTGCTGGTTAGTGTTCGAGATTTTCATTAAGTGCTCGTTGCCTGCAGCCGTGACACATAAACGAACGGTGTTTTCAGGGAATATCCAAATGCCGGAGCATTGAGCAGAAGCGCATTCCTCGTTGTAGCATTCCAATGATTTTGTTCGGACTGAATCACCAGATAAGTTTTGCAGTTTCTCCACATTCGGATTCTCTGAACCTTTTTCTTCCGACAGGACACTCGTTTCGTCTGCTGGAGAAATGCTGGAAACATTTGGCTCCTTCCTCGATCTTTCGAATTGTAGTACTGATGGAGTTTTCTTCAGCTGCACGCGTAATGAAGAAAAGCTGTAATAATGTTTGTACCGACACGGTAAGCAGCGCTCGTTCAAACTACCTGAATTTGGCTACTTTCGAAGGCGCTTATCATTTTCCTTACAGTGCTTTGTACTTTGATAGTCCGAGATTCTTGCAGTGAATCCGAGATATCAGATTCCGACGACTTGCAAGATGTATCCTCTTCATCAGCAAGCGATTGTGGTTCGATTTTGTTACTAATCGATCGAGACAATGGAGCAGCTGAGCCACCATCTGTAGTATCCTAAACCACGACCATTTGATCGTAAGATACTTGTCCGAATACCAAGTTTTGGCGAAGCACAAATTCGATTATCAGAGAAGTGATGGAATTCCTTAACTGGGATTGCGGCTTCGAGGTCAGTTCCTTGTTCCTTCGTGTCAGTAGCCGAATCTGAATCTTTCGATATAAACATTTCGGCACGATTCATCAAAACAAACACTGTAATATTATGACACGACGAACCTGAACCACACTCGATTTCTTTGTCTCTGTCTGCAGATGTTCTTGCAATGTTCGGATTCGCCCCGAGTTTCTTCTTCACCACAGATTCCCTCTGAGGAGACAGAGATCACATTAAATTCGAAGAAGCCGAAAACAAAAAGAAGGTAATATTTTACGTACCATGGCGCGAATACGGTGACGATCCTCCTCGCTGAGGACAAACTGCAGCTGCATGCGGACATGGCCACATCCACCGATGGAGAAAACATCGTCCCACGACCCCTTCTCGATAATCTGCATTGTCCTGATGTCTGTTCAATTACAAGAGAACCTTAAACTCTGCTTCTTGTGACAAAAAAAAGGAAAAAAAAAAACACTAACAACAATGTCTCTCGTAATGGCAGTTAATTAGCTTACCGGATCGAGCAATCTCGTCGTCGGCAGCATCCAGGAGCGCAACGGACAAGTCCTCGTTCAGCTTCGCGATCGGACTGTAAGAACATCATCACTCTCCTGTGTTCATACGTGCATTTTTCTTTTTTCTATCGAAGCATTCATTAATATGAATAGTTCTTGAAAGTTAGTTAGTTAAAAGAGGCGTTACAATGAGAAATGGCCGTTGTCGAATGTCCGAAACTCCCTTTTCCCCATAGAAACTGCCATATATCCAAAACAAGAGGAAAAGATTTTAAGGAAATTTTAACAAGAATTGTTTAGGATATAGTAAGAGGGTTTAAAGGTTGTTGCCTTTGAGTGAGGTTTTTGATGATGGTGAAAGTTCCATTCCAATTCCCTTGAATTCAAGAACTAGAAGAGAGTGAAAGTTGAATAAAGGTTCATGGAATTTGATTTTTGGTTTTAGGAGTGAGAATGAGTTTTAGCAGTACCTGTAACTTGAATGGCTCCTGGCATTTTAGGGAAGAAGGTGCGAGACACAAAAGTTGAATTTAGAGAGAGAGAGAGAGAGAGAATTGGGGGAATGAAATGTTGGATGAATTGGGTGGGGAGAAGGGAAGGAATGATTGGATATGGTTGGAAGATGAATGGATTGGGGGGTTGTCCTCATTGGGCTCCATAGATTTATTATGATTTCGATTTCCATACCTACACTTGATTTCTAAAAATAATTTCTTCATTTGGCTGCAAGACATAAACTTTGTTATTATAGCACAAAAATGCAAACAGAGCGTGTTCTTTTTACTGTGGATTGACTGGATTTTTTATTAAATAGTTTTTAATTTGATATTTTATAAAAAAAAATAAATATATTACACAAAAAAAATATATATATTTTTGTAAATTCAAAAGGTATTTGTTATGTTAGGTAGTACAATTATTAAAAAAAAAATGAGACGGACCAAAACAGAAAAATAGATAGATTGATAAGACACGGACCAAAAGACGGAGAGAGTATTTGAAATATCTGTTAGTGAGAATAGTAACTGTGTTGATTTGAAAAATTCAGCACTCTTCATAAATAACAATAGAAAATATAAAATAAAGTTTAAAAGTAAAAAAAATAAAAATCAAATACTTAGTGAAACACGTTAAAAAGTCAAAAATTCAATTTAAAATAATACTATATTCGTTCGACTTTAAAGTCTCATTTACTTTAAACTATTTATATTAGTGTCTTATAATATTATTATAATGACATTTGTTAAAAAAATTATACAAATATAAAGATATTTTGAATGTTGAATACAATTACGCAAATGATAAATGAGACTCTTAGAGTCGGACGGAAGGAGTACTATATTTTATCTTTGACACAATTATTCGTATCATACATAAAAGAATCAATTCATCTGAAAACTCTAACCTACCAGAGCCATTATATACTAATATATATATATTTGGGAATTGCAAAACTGAGTTATAAATATTTCATGTCAACACAATATATATATTATTGGTTAGTAGAAGTGTGCAAGAGATTTTAATATTTTAACTCTTTGACTTTATATATAAATTAATTGTATATGAAATAATAATTTATAATTTATGTAAAAACTAAAAGTATTTCAATATTAGTATATGATTGCATTTACTAAAATAAAAAATGAATACTTTTGAATAAGACATAACAAAATAATAAAAAAATGTAGTTGAGTTGAGACAAAATAAGTATATATTGTTAAATTGTGTTTAAAAAATATATACTCCCTCCATTCGCCTTTAAATGTCACATTTACCTTTTGTGTCATTGTACTAACACTAAAAATATCATTATATTTGTATAATTTTTTTAAACACTAATTGAAGTATTTTTGCAATTTTTTCTTAATTTTTACTATGTTTTGATATAATAATTAATATTCATATATCAATACGCAAAAAATAAATAGAACCCTTAAAATCGGACGGAGATAGTATATTGTTAAATTATGTTTATTAATATATACTATATATATTTTTGATAACATAGGAATTCACATGCATTGTAGGTAAACTCTAAAAGAATATTTTTTATTTGAGATATGAAAAATTATGTAAATAATATAAAAATAATACGTATGTATTATATTAATTTTTTGAAAAAATATGTAGAGAAATTTTGAGTAAACAAACAAAGCCTTAGTAGCTTACAAATCAAGCCCGCAACATAAATCACATGAGGCCACTCCAATAAATTACTCTTCTCAATTTTTGCAGCAACTACAGTTAAAATATATTTTATTTTAACTATAATTTTCAATTTTTACTTTAAAAAATATATTTTATATATATTCGTCTTTTATTTATTTTATATAATTTTTTATATTTATAAATTACGCTTCAACTTTAATTTGTTTTTACATTATCATCCAAAAATTAAATCAAATAAAAAAGATAAATACTATTAATTTATTTATATATATATTTATTATATAAATTTTATATTAAAAATAAATAAAATAGAACAAATTAATAAATTAGTCAATAATTAACATAATAAAAATATATATACAAAATTATTTTATATTTTACACAATTTTAAATAAAATAATCATTATTTTTTTTAATAAAAATATTTTTCTGAAATCTAAAAAAATAAAAATTAATATTTTATAATAATTTTAAAAAATAATATATAAATATGTTTAATTGTCATTTTATATATAAAAAATTAATATTAAATAATTATTTTACTAAAACACTTTAATAAAAACAGTTACTTGCATCAGCTCATTGTCAAGCACACTGACAGTTGTACCCCTCCTTCTTCCCAATCAATTAGTTATGAAATACTCCTTCCGTCCCAAATACCGCACAATATTTAAGTTCGGCACGAAAATTTAGGTGATTAATTTGAAGATTAGATGATGCTGTTGAAGAGGGATATACATATTTATTTTTTTATTTGATAAATGTCATGAGATAAATGAAATGTACATTTATATATATATATAATTAATTATTTCTAAATTCAAAAATATTAGTTTGGAACAAAAAAAAATAATGTTCCAGAATTTCAGACGGAGAGAGCACTATTTTTGTCCCCATAACCTAATTAACTATGTGTGCCAGATAACTGAGAGACGCATTGGATTTGAATCATGTTAAGTAATACATTGAAGCACTAAAATTATTTAAATGGAATTATTGCAATATATGATCCAACATCATAAACAAATAATATATATATATATATTATACTCCATTCGTCGTTCAAGTATGTGCTCATTTTATCGGACATCATTTTTTAAAAAAAAAAAATAGATAAAATAAGAACTTACTTTTTTGGGTCAAAAAATAGAAAAAATAATATTTTATTACTCTATAAAGAAAGAAACGAGAATAAATTTGAAGGATATAAAAAAACGAAAGTGAAAATAGATTTGAGGTCTTGGGAGTATTACAAGTATTATATTTCTACAAAATTACTTATTATTCACTTGTAATTTAGAAAATTTGCATTATTTCTTTTTATAATTTAAAAATTACACAAATTTTCTTGTATTTTTCAAACATGGCACAAAATCCTTTTTAAGAAAAATTTTACTCCTTCCGTCTCAGATGTAAGTATCCATTTACTTTTTGCATTTAATTTTAGAAATATTAGTATGATATTGGGATATAGTAGAAATAAAGTAGAAATGACTAAAATAACCTTATTAGTATGTGTGGTATAAAGGTAATGATATTTGTGTAATATATTGTAAGTTGTAAGGGTATTTGTAATGTTAAGTAGATAGTACAGTTACTAAAAAAGAAAATGGATACTTTGTTATGAGACGAATTAAAATGAAAAAATGGATATTTTGTTATGGACAGATGGAGTACAATATTTTTTGAAAATACAAAGAGTATCGTGAAATTTCTAAAAAAATTTGTGCAATGCTTTCTAAAATAAGAAAAAATGTTGTGCAATTTTTAAATTAAGGAAGAATATGGTGTTATTTTTCAAACCACAAAACGATTATAAACAATTTGATCTTATAATTTCCAAAATTTTCTTAATTCAATAATTTGATTTCTGACACTGTACATACCTTTGTCCACACGACACACACAAGGACATTATATTGAAGTACAATTTTGTCCTCAAATATTACTTGCTAATTTTTATTTCTTTTTCTAAAATAAATTAATAAATAAGATAGGATTCAATAATAATAATAATAATAATAATTCAACACACAATCCAAATTCATAAAAATTGAATCTTGATTGAATTAATTGCATACCATACCATGCCAAACCAAATTTAAATAAATTCACTAATTATTAATATAATTCAAATACAAGATATTAAAATAAATAAATAAAAATCACTCACTTTAATTTAGGCTATCAAATTGTCCCAAATTAAAGATTTGTGTGATCTTTAACACAAACACCAAAAACTAACACACAAATTTAAATATAAATTCAGTCATCTAACTATATAAAGAAATTAAAATAAAAATCAAGGATTGAAATTAATTCACTCTAAATAAAAAAAAAAAAAAAAACTCATCGATCAAGAACTAGCCATAAGATAAAGCCATAAGCAGTATGGCTGCATCCTTCTCCTCCTCTGGAAACACTCTGTGAATCCCTAATTTCTTCTTCAGATTTATCAATAAATCCTCAAAACATGTCTTTTTCTTACAATTCTTGCCCGAATCGACACCCGAGCTCGTTCTACAACGTTTCTTCACCGGCAAAGAATGCCGATGCCCGGTTCTTCCTGTCTTCTCTTTGTGTTGCTGAAGTTTTGAATTCGTCGCCGGAGCTCCAGCTGCCATGGCCTGTCGAGCCTTGCGTTGTCGGATCCCACAAGCATTGCAAAGTGACTACGACAGAAGAAAAAAAATAAAGTTAGGGCTTGTGATAGATGATCTGTCGCTATTTTTTATTTTGTCAAGAAACAAAAGAAATAAGTGTAGAAAAAAAAATTAGGTGTGTTTGTTTAATTTTTTTTTTTATTTGAGTTTGAATTTAATTAAATAATATTTTTATATGATCTTTTGTAAGAGAAATTAATACTCTTTATGTTCCAATTAATCAATTGGGACATAATTTTGTGGCATGACATTAAAAAAATATTTGATATTACGGTGATTGTGAGAGCAAATTGTTGGTTAAAAGTTCATTTTATCCTTATAAAGTGTATTTTAATCTAAGTGAAAAAATAATAGTATTTGTATAATGATAAAAATGTTACAGTAGTTTTATAGTGATTGTTATTTATGGTAATTGAACAATTGATTTAAGGCGATAAAAATAGTAAATTGAGAGAACAGATATGACATGAAAGACTACTTTTTTACTAAAAACCGTACGAATTGAATGGTAAAAAAAATGAAACAATTTGGCATAGATATGACATAAAAGACTACTTTTTTACTAAAAATCGTAATAATTGAATAGTAAAAAATAAAAAGATTAAAAAAACGAAACAATTTGGCTCTTACTATTTGTCTTTGTGTAAGAAAAGTTTTGTTTGTTTAAATCATTACCTTAGGGCCTTTAGGACCACTCCTCCAAAGAGGTGTCTTTGTAGTGTTGCAATCACTGCAAACCCTAATTGGGCTGTTGTTAGAAGAAGAGTGGTGGCCGCAGCCGAATGCCTCGGTTTCCGAACACAGCGATGAATTTTGATCGTTGGCGATGATCTTTACGGCTACCCAATCCGTAGGGTTCTTGATCTTCGAGGGAATCCAATCGCCGGGGTTTTTTTTTTCAGATAAAGTTCGATCTTGCTCATCTTGATCCTCTTTCTTCCAAAGAGTTATTTTGAGGCTGTTGTCGATCTTGTTTTGGATCTTGCGCGTGCTCGATTCATCATCCTATTTTTTTTTTCCAAAAAAAAATGATAAGTTTGGATTACTCGAACAAGATTAGATATATATATATATATATGTAAGAAGTAGAAGAAACCCTAAAACTTTGTGATGATGTGTAGCTAGGGTTTTCTTGCGCGTAGATACATACCGGAGGATGAAAAAATCGTGGATGATCGTAACATCCGGCGTGTTCTTGGAAGAAGCCGTGGAAAGAAAAGGAAGAGGGTGCGCGATCATTTTGAGAAAAATTAGGGTTTGGTTTAGGGAAAGAGTCGAAACTCATTTTGAAAATACTTTTAAGGGGCCTCGCTATCTTTTTTTTTTTTTTGATCAAAGGAGTACTTCAACAAAATCTTTGAGGTTATGACACAATACTGATAATTGGATTGGATTGAATCGATTCTGTGTGTAAGAATCGAGAAAACCGAGTGTTTTAATTTAAAGATGGGGAAAAATGAAAGAGTGGGAGCTTAGGGTGTTCACGTGACTTGATGACAACCAAACAAATAAGTCGAAAAAGAAGACAAAAAAAATAAAAAAAAAGGAAGGATGATGATCCGAATGCTACCACACGACCATTTGACACAACCCTATCTTCAAAAAACCCTTACACATATATTCTTCATAGTACAGCGCGCGCCGCGATCCCCTTTTGTCAATTGTATTGTTTCACTTATTAATTAATTTGTCTGAGCGAACAACGAGATTAAAATAAAGCTCGAGATTGTTGGTGAATTTTCCATGTATATTTGTGTTAATGGATAAGATGTGTGGTTTCAAGAAACCTTATTTTGTGTTGATTTATGTTATTTTCAAATTTTAGTTCTTTTTTTTTTACTATGTAATTATTGTGATTCTTTAAAAAAATATATTTTGCTTTTTCTTATAAAATATCGTATATAAATTCAAAAAATTTATAAAAGAACACATAATAATAATAATAATAATAATAATAATAATAATAATAATCATTGGCAAAATCAAATGGAATTTTTTTTTTTACTTTAGATCGTTAAATTCTTAAATATGACTTTCATTTATTTATAAGAGATACGAGTAGAAAAAAAAAAAGAGGTTTTTGTTTTTGTTTTTGTTTTTGTTTTTGTATATTTTTATTTTTATTTTTATTTTTATTATTTAATATGTAAGTTTTCTTTTTAAAATATGGCCTATAACACATTTATTTTTCATAGGAAAATATTAACATTAAAATATATATAACTGTGTTTTTTTATTTCCATGTAGTCGACTTGAGCTTGGTTAGAACTTTTTTGTTTTTGCTTAATAGCTTAAATTCAGACTCTAAGGGTGTGTTTGTTTTCTATTTCAATTCAAACTTAAGTTATCACTGTTCAGTTTGTATTATTTTCAACAAAAATATACTATTTAAATTAAAAAAAAATACTATTTAAATTTAAATTAAAATATAAATCTAAATTTCAAAAAATAAAAATAAACTCTAATTAATTAACAGTATAAATTATTTATGAATATCTGTTTTAAATTAAAAATAAATATATAATAGTAATAAATTTTACAAACATAAAATACTCCCTCCATCCCGTATCTATATATCAATTTGTTTTTTGCACAAAGTTTTAAAAATATTAGTATTATATTGGGATAAAATATAAATAAAGGTAAAAAGACTAAATTAATAATGTATGATATAAAGGTAATGACATTTGTTTAATATACTGTAAATTGGAAGGGTATTTGTAATGTTAAGTAGATAGTACAATTACTCTAAAAAAAATTGATACTTTGTTATGGGACGGACTAAAATAAAAAAAAAATGAATAGATTGTTAAGGGACGGATGGATGGAGTAGTTCTATACACAACTTTTCAATATAAAAATGGCAATGATATCTATAATAGTAATGATTTATTTTAACCAAACAAGATAAATAGAAATATTTCCATTTCTCTAACTAAACACCTTCTAAACAAAAAATTATAAGTTTAATTTATTTAATTTTTTAAAATTATTATTTATTATCATTGCCTCGAACTAATAAAATGTTGAATATAATTAATTGAAATGTGTGTTCATCCATTATTTTTCTGGTACCAAAATTATTAATAAATATTATAAAAAAAAATATACTCTCTCTCCCAATACAATGGTCTTATTTATCATTTTTATCCGTCTCAAAACAATAATCTCATTTCCATAAATAATCATATCACCATAAAATTATCCCTACTTTTTTATTATTATTACACAATTGACACTACTTTTTACACTAATATACTCACAGGGACCAAAAGGTCATTTATCATTACTTTTTATCAACTACCAATATAATATAATATTCCTTAAATCTCGTGCCCAACACAATAAGACTATACTTTTGGGACGGAGGGAGTATCAATATATATTTATATTATCGATACAATCTATAATTTCTAAAATAAAAAAAAAATAAAAAAATAAAATAAACTCACATACAACTCTAAATAAAATTAAGGATAATATACTTATTGTCCCGTAATTAATGATCGAGTGGCGTGATGAAAGATTTTTTACCGAGGTCATGAATTCAAAGATAAAAATAAAATAAAAATATAATAATAATAATAATAATAATATTTAATTATTATGATTTATTCCATATTTATTTACCATAACTATCACTATTATTATTATACATCATTCTCATTACTTATGTTAATTTATTATAACTAGTCACTAGATTTTCATAAATATTTTCAAATTAAATTTTTAAATTTCTTACTATTTATTTTAATAAAGTATTTATTTATTTATTTTAATCTTCATGCCGGCCAATGACACCAATTTTACCAAACAGAGATAATAAATTTTATTTGAATATTATATATAAATTGAATAAAGTGTTCAATGGAAGATCATTGGAGATTAATTATTGAAGTTTGCTTATAATAATTATTATTTTGAATGTAATTTGTAAATATTGAATAGTTAAAATAAATATTTGTATATATGTATATAAAAAAAATAAATATATATTCATTTACACAGATAATTTTAGATTTTTTTAGAATTTTAGGAATAGTAAAAAAATATTAATATTTAATATAATATTGTGTGAGAATAAAAATAAATTTGATATAAATTTTTTCAATACAGTACTTTATAATAAATTAATAGTATCAAGAAGTTCAAAATTATATATATAAACAAAAAATATAGGGCTTGTTCTTTTATTATTTGGTAAATTGTATAATATTTTTTCTGTGTATCAGTAAAAACGCACAAAATATTTTGTATTTTATACTTCCTCCGTCCCATAACAAAGTATCCATTTTTCCATTTTAGTCCGTCCCATAACAAAGTATCTATTTCCTTTTTTTAGTAACTGTATATCTACCTAACATTACAAATACCCTTACAACTTACAATATATTACACAAATGTCATTACCTTTATATCACACATACTAATAAGGTTATTTTAGTTATTTTTATTTTATTCCTACTATATCCCAATATAATACTAATATTTCTAAAATTACGTGCAAAAAGAAAATGAATATTTAGTTTCGGAACGGAAGGTGTATATGACATGAAATTCTTATTTTTAAATTCAAGTATACACAAAACATCATGAGTCATTCAAAATTGATGTTTGAATGTAAATTCATACCTTATTATGCAAGTTTGATACAAATAAAAGAGAAGTAAAGAAAACTTAAATAGCTTTATTTAAATAAAGAAAAAAATAAACTTAAATACCTTCGGTTTATAGTATTTTGTAAAAATTAAGTAGTAGTTTATCTTTAAAAAAAAAAAACTATTAAATGAACAGTTAATAAATTATTTAGTTATTTATTTATTTAAAATACTATGTAAGATCTTTTATTTTGAGCGAATGGAATATTTTGTTCGTACTTTAATTTAACACGATAAGATTTTATGAAATAAATAAAATATAAAAATTTTGTACATATCTACTAAAATATAAAGGAGATTATATAATTTATCCTCTGTGATTTCAAATTGAAAGCAACACAACAATTTCTAATAAAAATATGTTCCATTCGTCCCAAATATTATGGCATAGTTACTCTAGACATATAAATTTATAATGATTATAATTAGTAAATAATTTAAAAATATATTAGTAAAAATAATTATAATAGAATAAAAATAATTATAAATTAAAATTTAGATAACTAATTAGTATAATAAAAATTTAAAAATATATAGTATAAAATTTAAAAATATAATTAAAATGAATAATTTTTTTCAAAAAAAGAATATAAATATGTAGGACGAACGTAAATGAAAATTATGGTATGATATGCGGAACGAATGGAGTATTTGTTTTCTTTTACAAAAATATCAAATCAAAATACTATTTAAATTAAAATTTAAATCAATATCTTATTTTAAATTAATCTGAGATCATAATTTAACAAACCAATATATATATATACTCTTTTTCTCATTTAAATTTATTTTTACTTTTTTTTATGATTATTAAAAAACAAAATAAAAATCTGTTTTTATTAGTAAGAAAATACTAGTATTTTTATTTTTTATTTTATTATATATATATTTTTTATTTGTGTTTAATCAAAGCTACTCTCTCCGTCTCAATTTAAAGTACTATTTTTATCATTTTTATCTGTCTTCGTTCAAAGTATTCATTTTTTATTTTAGTAAAAATAATAATACATTAATATCAATATACTTTTTAACTTTTACTTAAATTACAAATATATTATTACATATACAATTATTTTATAGATAACAATATAAAACCCTTTACACATTTTCACTAATTAATAAAATATTACTCCCTCCGTCCACTCTAAATAACACATTTGTCTTTTGCGTCATTTTAATTAACATTAAAAATATTCTTATATTTGTATAAAAAATTTTTTTTAGAAATATTCTTCTATTAATATTATACCATACTAATTGAAGTATTTTTACAATTTTTTTTAATTTGTACTGCATTTTAATATATTCTTTCCGTCTCAATACAATAGTCTTGTTTACCATTTTTGTCCGTTCCAAAACAATAGTCTCATTTTCATAAATAACTATATCACCATAAAACTATATCTACTTTTTCATTATTATTACACAATTGTCACTACTTTTTACACTAATATACTCACAAGGGCAAAAAAATCATTTATCTTTACTTTTTTACTAACTACCAATATAATATCATATTCCTTAAATTCCGTGTCCAACACAATAAGACTATACTTTTGGAACGAAAGGAGTAATAATTAACACGCAAAAAATTAATAAGATCTTTAGAGTCGGACGAAAACAGTATTATATTTTAATAATCTCATAAAAGTCCTCATGAAGCAGGAGGGAGGGAATATGTTACGGTGTGTTTTTTTATGACTTTGGAAAAAAATTGGTTTGAATTTGATACGAAAATAATGTTTGATGGGATATTTTATGAGAAAAAAATATTTTTTTTTTGAAAAATACATAGTCCAAATAGTAAAATTTGGGAAACTCGGCTAAATAAATATACCTTAAATTT